CTATGAACAAAATATACTAACGAAGGTTTTATCAATCATTCAATAGTTTATATAAATTTCTCTTTTATTTTAACTAACATTTAATAACGTCACTATAATCTTTATTTTTGTTGTTTATTGTTCTAATCATCATTTACATATGTATATTGGAATAAATGTAAAAGAAAAATCTTTATTTATTTAGCACTTGATGATCTTCAAAAATCATGCGACTGTAAAATTTTAATTATGTTTTACATGGGGCACGCCGCAAATATTATGTTGGTTGCAAAAAAAATTTTCAGGGTCAAAATGTCAGACACCGCAATAGTTCCCCTTTTTCTTCTATTTTTGCATCTTATTTCTTTTATACCAGTTTGCCAATTGTCATATTCTTTGCAATAATGTAATGCATTGAAAGTTGAATCCAAGCATTTTTCATCTTTTCTGTATTCTTGACCTTGGTTTTTCGCTAATTGTTTACTTATTAATTTATTTATGTATACCTGAATAATAATAAAAACAACAAGTAATGAATAATAGTGAATTTGATGGATGAATGTGACATGCTGCAAAAAAATGAACATTACGTCATGAATTAATTCCAGGGTACAAAGTTTAAGAACCAACCAAATATTAAATTTGATATTAATATTTAATATTAATATTAATATCAATATCCGTTTGCCCATTGAGAAATTGAGCGAGTGACTCTTTTTTAATCCTTATTGTTATGTCGTCCCTCTAAAAGGGGATTGAATATTTATATTAATATTTATATTTATACAATGCATTTTTTTATAGGGAAATGGAATTTGTGTCACAAAAAATTTATATATCTAGATTAGTACGAGATCTAATTGACTAACGATATTTAATAATAAATTATCAGTAATTTTTTGCGAAGGAAAAATCAAAATTATAACAAAAAGGATAATTTCTTTTATATATTATTAAATCAGGACGTTATTTCTTTTTTGTGCCCCAACCTTTCTCTGTATATGCAAGCTCATGGAAGGCTGGGAATCACCTTGA